TCATGAAAAGACAGAATACATACAGAGGAATGTGATGGGAGTGATGGGGAGGGGGTGTCAATATACAACATCTATCAACTTACACATGCATTGTATAAAGTCACCAAAATGTTAGCATCTGTGGCAATACACGTAAGGACCTGGCATAGATATGTGCTACAAGTTCTATTATAATAACCATTATTGCTGATGTTCAACACAAAACTCAGGGGAACTCCATGGGAGAAACACTGCAGAGAACCCAACACACTACGAAGCACGGAACAACACCACAGGAAGAACAATATCGATTCGTTTGTTGAGTTTATGAGTCGCCAAGGCCAGGACAAGCATTTTCCTCTTGAATAGTTTGAGTAAAGAGAAGTACATCAACACAATTATGGTCATTTCTTAAAGGGAAAAAGCAACACAGACGGAAGTACTTTGAGAAAAGAGAATCACATCAGCACAACAAGAGCCGTCATGAAGAGCAGAGGAAAAGCTAGAAAGATGGAAACAAAAGATTAAAAGAAGGATGGTAAAGAAGTAGAAACTACCAGTGGTGCCTTTTCTTACCATTCACAAACTGAAACAGGGGATGGAGAGAAAAGAAGAGATAGGAGACATGAGGAGTCAAATAGAAGTAAGAGAGGGAAAGTCTAGCACTCCTTGTACAAACCCCTTTGGAAAAAACAGGCTCTAGTCACAACCAGTAACTGGTAGAATTGGTCCCTTGTTTTTAGTTTTAGTAAGAGTTTTACGGCACTTGCAACACAATAAGGTCATATAAGTGCCGAAGAATAGATTACGTGTTACAAGAGAGTAACATACACAAAAAAGAAGGAGGGGAGATATGATAAGGACGACAGATGTTTGATAGGAAAGAAGGAGCAAACCACACCAGAGCACGCGCCAACCACCCATGGTCCCTTGTTAAAAGTTGGAGTAAAAACAAACACTTCAGCATGACAATGGCCATTTGACACAGGAGAAAAACAAGACTGATGGAAAGAAAAAAGGAGAGGAAGGTAAAAAATCTATTTTGCTCGAGTCCAAGAAAAGCAAAGGGCCGTCGAGGCAGCCATTGGAAATAGAATGGAAACAATCAAGAGAGAGGTGAGAGGTACCAGTGGCGCCATCACACCCCTTGCACACACCCTTCTCCAGTGGCACCATCACACCCCTTGCACACACCCATCTTTGGAAAACAGGCACTAGACTAGACATAAATCAGTGATAAAATTGGTCCACAGTTTGTACAATAATTCACCAATACATTGATCACGTACCCAATAAATATTGTCGGAAAAAAACAACAGAATATCACTTTCAGGAGTAAAATTGCACAGTTGAATAATGTCACAAAGCACAACAGTAACACACACACACTATTGCAAGAGGAACACAAGATTACATTCAATGAAAATTGAACATTGCGTATTTTTTTGGACATTTTTTCCCTCGAATTTTGTTTCAAACCACATCTTTGTAATTATATGTACCAAATTACATAAAATGACAATAACTAGGACTGTAAAGTAATATGTCTATAATATATTATCATATGTCTAGTGTGTGCAATACATAATATGAATATACACAGGCGTCTATATACAATCATAGGGGCAAAAAGACAATTTGGACAACTTTCAAAGAACGGGATCTAGACCTAAAGAACTAACAATAACACCAAAAAGAAATCATACTCTATGGGACTTAAGACCATACGATATGAGCTCAAGGCCCCCTAGAGACACTGAAAGCTCTTTCAAAAGGCCTGACCTCCAAACATAACACCCACCTCTAACAGGGTATGGGCAGACTTAAGCTCTCTGTTCACAACGTACTTGACCTAGTCAGCACATCCCAGGTCTCAACTCTTGAGTGAACCCATATTTGGGTCTCTTTAACATCATGCGGGAAAGACGCTTTCAGCTTATTTTAAAGATGGAGGGTCAAAATTTACTCATACCTCTAACAGAACTAAGCCTCTAGAACTCCCCAAACACATTAAGTTCAAGGATGTCCCATTGGGATTCAGAGGTCACTCACACCAAAATCCAGCATGTTACTAACAAAACTGTCCACACTCCCATGGGACTTTGGGGCACTCAAGCCATTGTAGAAGGACACCACTGATATCTCTTCAGTCAAAAACTTACTGGTGGTATGGCAGAGACAGATGTGCGTACAAATGTACACATAGATCCAGAGCTATTGTAAAATGACATCCCTGACACCATCTGTCATGCCCATCAGATGATGACGTTAGTGAAAAAGTGTAACTTTAAATATCATACACCCCCATCAACACAACTTTGATCATTTCGGAGGCGGGCCGCTTAAACTCAACCTGTCAAGGTCGACCCGAGCAGAATCGAATATAACATCCCAGCAGACAGATGGAGATACTCTATGTTAAACTTCCCCATGTGGTAATCAAACTCACACCTTCCACGTACAATGGCAAAGAGTCTAACCATTACACCACACCCTTTGGTGATCATGTCATAACAACAGATGTACAACTGCACACATTGCAAACACTTATGGTTAAGTTATGCCAGTAACATCTGAACAGACACATCTCGGAGAACATGTCAGTAAGACGGCTGTACAAGTATTATAGTATAGTACATGAGTGTGCTAGGACGAATGAAAATTCAAAAGCACAACAATTGCACACACAGAACTCGACTACACTCACCCTCTGAGAACCACATCCACAGGCAAAACTATTTGCTTTAAAAAAAAGAGACTATGAAAATCTACGTCATACTTTTTTAAAAAATGGATAACGCCAGTAACAGAAATGAATCGATGATTAATTAAAGAGTAAAATGATCACCATTCTATTGGCAGCCGATGAAGGCTATCTCCCTCCTAAACAGACACCAGGAGACACATCCTCCACCCCCACCCCACCCCCTTCCTCATTGCAAACACGTCTTTGGTCTGGGTAGTCAAGGTGGGGTGCTCGGAACACAAGAAACATAGTCAACAAGGGCAAAAAGTCAGTTTCATACCAACCAGACAGGCAGCACTTTGATATTACACACATGCTTGTAATAATTATAGGAAAACTCTGAAATAAACAAAAGAGTCAAGGAATGGTTCACAACTGGAATGCTTCCCGATGTGCTGGGTACTCATAGAATGAACAGGTTTCCACTTCATAATAGCAAAATTGTGAAATCTGTGGTTAGTATTAAAAAAATGTTTTTACCTCATACTTCTTTAAACTATTCCCTCACACACTGACATACTTCTATTTCTGTGATTGGGGTGCAAATTTAGGCTTTAACCCTTTTATTGGCCCGCCAGAGACAGATTTGAGCGCTTTGGTAAGATTAAAGAGTCAGCCTGGCAGTGAAGGGGTTAACTAATAAAATGACTATATGCGGTTGACTACTTACAAATGTATTGTGGTGTTAATTTGGGGTAGGCCTACCTCTTGCAGATTGACTGGGAAGGAGTATCCGTGCAGCTTTGGGTAAATATTTAGATTGGTTGTAAAAATGTTCCTCATCCCCATAGACACAATTTAGATTATTTTGGAAGAGGGTTGCTTCAACGCTGCCTGTCAGGACTGATTGGGGCCCAGTGGATAAAGCGTCACAGCTGACAGAGGAAGAAACTGCGGAAAAATGATTTTCTCACAATCTTAATCAAATTCCCATCCTTTGCCAGCGATGGTAAAGAGCTTAACCATTACATTAAAAATGGCCAAAAACATTTTGAAAAATTAAATTTTAAAAGTCATGAAAAGTGAAGAGAACAAGTCTTTTCTTCCAGGAAGTGGGGAGAGAACCTTCCCACTCTATGGCACTGCAAGCATGTCATCGTCAGTAAGAGATCAAGAGGAGAGAATTCCCACAGCCACACACACTGGAAGTTGATCGTGAACAGGTCCACAAAATGAGAACAGTTCTACTGAGAAGGAAGTAACATCAGTGCCTGCACAAAGCAACCACAATATCATGGCTCAAATGCTGACAGAAATAAAGGCATCTACACTAGGTGTAATATACACTAAATATCAGAATGGATAGGTCAGTCTTATTATAACAAATCACATGATAAATAGGATATCTACAAAGGCTAATGTCAGAGACACAAATAGCGAACAAATTACATCATCTCAAGACACAAAAAAAGGAGAACATGCATGTCAGTGGGAAAGTCATTATGTCAAGGACAAAAGCAAAGAGAGAAACAAAACTATCTACATAACTGGATGTCAGAAATACATTACTTGATTTTGAATCAACCGTGTCATGAGGTAAACGTAGTGAGAGGAAAACTCCTGTGTATAATGAATGGACATCCATTTCAGAAATACAGAATAATATCGTGCCAACAAGCCTAAATTATTCACAACAATTTGAGGCCAAACAAAGTGGCCCATCAATCATTCACTCATCAAGCATGGCGGGCGATGAGTTGCAATTATCTTGCCCCTACTCATGTGGCGACTTTCATTCGAACTGGGCACTCAAAACGAGTAAAGAGGCAGAGATTTGTTCTGCTTGTTGAAGCATATAGACACAATAATGGTCATTTACAACTGGGAAAATGTGAGACAGACAGATAGAAACAACAGAGGAAAAGACCTTGTTCAGCCTGTCCTGTAGCATCCGTCCAACCGCTAGCCTATCACGACCATGTCCGCAGACCATGGAAAAGAAAAGAAACAGGACCTACCAGTCGTGCTATTCAACCTCCCACTAAAAAGGCAGAAGGCTGGCCACAGACAATTAACTGACATGGTGGTATCTCTTTCATCCCATGAAACTTTCTCCAAAACTTACTGGAATGTAAACAAAGACAAAAAAAGTCAGCAGAACAATCAATACTATGGGGAAACATAACTTCTGTAGTTTTAGTTTTAGTAGAGGGTTTACTGCGCTCGCAACTGCATAAGGTCATACAACTGCCAAAGGGTGGATGTCAACAGAGAAGTCTTCACAGGGAATCAGGCTTACTCTGCTCACCTCCCTAGCTTCAACAGCACAAAGTCTGCTCTGACTATCAAGGCACCCCGGAAATAGCGGGTCACAAGAGCATGACTAACATACAAAAGAAGTAGAGCAAAAATTAGAGGGGATTACATAACTTCTGTAATTGCAATTCAAAACGCACACACAATTAAAAACTTAGGAACATTCCATGCTCCAGGGTTCTTAAAATGATCCAGATAAGCAACACTCCTATTTTGGAGTTCAAACTTAAAATGCACATCACAAAGACATGTGACTGCAGTGCAAGAACCGTGACAACGGAAACATGGGGAAGGGAAAGAACAATGGAAGCCACAGTATAATACATACATGCTAGAATGCACAAAATTGTCCTTTGGAGAAAAAAAAAGAATGAAAAACGGACATCAGTGATTTTCCTGATTTTTTCCAAACCTTAATGACAAAACTTGACATACATAACATGTCTCCTATATTCATGAAAATCCAAAAGTCTGCAACTGTGTGAGAAAAATGTTACTGAAATACTTATTCTAAAAATAATCAGTTCTACTGTAGTACGTAAGTTCTTTGTTTTCAGTCTGTACTGTATACATTTTCAGAATAAGAGAAAACAAATACACTCGGAGAAGTGTACTTTTGTTCATATTCCAAAGACCATCTTCTATTATTTATCAATATTTTCAACAAAAATGCATGCAAAGATATTATTGAACTTCTGAGTAACATAGCTTATAATAAAACAACTCAAATTTGTGCTTTGCTAAAAATGAATTTCATGAAACTAAACTTTTGTGGAATGCTCAGAATATCTTAAAAGATAAAACCAGAAATAATGCTGACAGGTATACACCAACTGCTGTCACAGCGCATAAAGAAGAATGAACTAAAACATCAGAGCTAGAACATAACACACGGTAGACAAAACATGAAGGAGGTGAAACAAATAAAAAGGTTAGTTCGGGCACAACTTTCGTTCCCGCGTAATCTTCAGCCGGACCAACAACTACCTCACGGATCACAGCACAGCAGGATATTTTTCCTGAGGCCAGCACACATGACAAAGTAAGTTAAATCATTTTGTAAAATAATTGCAAATCAAAACAAACAAAGAATTTGTGAAAACCAAAGAGTTGCAAGCAGAACACGTTCACAACTTTTGAAAAACTTCTCGTGCAAAACCGTAAAGCATAACCGAAGAATGGGACTTTTCATTAAACGTCATCGAAAATCCCACGAGGAGGGCGATTCCCAGGACGTCCACTGCTGTAGCGGCCAGCTGAACGTGACTGGTAGCCGCCATTCTCTTCTCTACCCACATTCCCAAAGAGGCCATCGTTCTGTTCGTCCCTGTAGTCAACGGGCTCCACCTGGCGTAGTAGCTCCGAGCGGTCGTCATCGTCGGGGCTGCGGGGGACAGTGTAGCGTTCACCTGGCCAGACACACAGAGAAAACAACAAGAACAAAAGCTACAGACACATTCCAAAACACAGTGCAAAGTCTGGTTGCATTCCCAACTTCTTGACTACCACTGTGAAAGCTATTGCAAATTAAAATCCATATATTTCCATTACAAGCTGGGGTCAAAGTAAAAGTGATGGAAGAAAGAGAACGGATGAAAAATTGAGGAAAATAATCACGTTTCATGCAGATCATATGAAGAGACCAGACACTTGTCTTGATCAGTGCTTGCCAACCTGGGCAACATCGCTCACTTGGCAATTGTGGTGGGCAGTGGGGATCACCCAGGTAGTGACAAATATTATTGCGCAAAAATTCTCTTAAAAATAGCAAAAGTGGGCCTTGGCTTTAAAAAGGTGAAAAGTATTGGCCTACTAGAGCATAAGCAGTAGCCTTCTTCACCTCTGATAAAAGAGTAGAAAAGTCATAAGGAACAGACAACTTGGACAAAGGGAAAGTCTTTAGTATTGAAGAGAACGACATTGACACAATAATGACAACTAATCACTGGGATTAAAGCATGACAGACAAAGACAACAGAGAGAGCAGGAAGATGGGACCTACCAGCTTCAACTTCAACAACCCATCAACGGAAAATCACATGGACAAAAATCATGATTGATGACTACTTATTGTTTGCCAAACCTATGCTGTTTACTACATTTATACACCAAGGGAGGCTGTCAAAATATGCACAAACACCACCAACTCACCCCTTCTTTCAGAAGACAATGGTAAATCCTTGTTGCTAGATGCGCTATCTCCAAACCTCTCAGTCCACGTCTTACGCCTGGCATCAGCATCAGCTTTTCTCTCAATTCTCCGCTTCTCTGGAAAGAAACAAAAATATCATGTTTTTTGTTTGTTTTTGTAAAGTGTTTTACGGCGCTCGCAACTGCATAAGGTCATATGAGCGTGCTGGACACACCTAATATTTTCAGTTGGTAGGAAATTTTGAATTTTGCCCGGGTGGCGGCCGAAGCCTACTCTTATCGATTTTAGACCCCTTTAACGAGCGCAACTTGCACACGGGCCCTGCGAGATTTTTCGCACTTGTCCGAGAAGGCTAGGTGTAGATCTTTCCTACCAGTCAGAAGATCAGGGGTGTGGCAGAAAGACAGCAGTAAGGAGGAGCCAAGGAGTAGCAGTAGAAAGGCTGCATAAATATCAGTATCAATAGTACATCAAAACCACAGAGCTGGCAGTTGAGATGGGGTGGGGAACAATCCATCCAAATACCTTTCTTTCACCTTGCTGTTCTCTTTTTCTCTTTCTGCATCTCGCATATATATACACAAACACACACAAATATTCAAATCTTTTTTTTTTTTAATTACTAAAGTAAGAGTTTTACGGCATTTGCAACACAATTAAGCCACATAAGTGCTGAAAATTAGAGGTGTTACAAGAGAGTAACAAGCAGAAAAAAAAAGGAAACATAAGGAAGATAGACGTTTTGTAGGAAAATAGCAGCAAACAACATCAGAGCATCCGCCAACCACCCACCAGAGTCAACTCTAAAATTCAGTTCCTCTTCCCAGCAATAAGTCCCTCGTAGTATACTCTCTCGTTCTTTCTCTCACACAGACACACGCACACAAATAGCACAAGCTACTCCAAAAATAAGTTCCTTCACCTCTAACCCCCCCCGGGGCGGTGCCACTGACTTAAGTATCTTTAAGCCATTCCCAAAGGGGGGACATTAACTTGTTCTTATGCACAGTAGAATTGTAAATGGGCTGATTCAACAATGTCAGGCTCATAACAGTGCCTGAACTGCAACAGGGAACTGCAGCTTATTCTTTCCTAATCCTTACTATCGTCATTTTTTCCTCTACTTCTTTTGTATGTTTGTCACTCTTGTGACCCGTTATTTCCGGGGTGTCTTGACAGTCGAAGCAGATTTTGTGCTGTTGAAGCTAGAGAGGTGAGAAGAGTAAGCCTGATTCCGTGTAAGGGCTTCTCTTTTGACATCCACCCCTTGGCGCTCATATGACCTTATGCAGTTGCGAGCGCCGTAAAACCTCTACAAAATTTATTTTTTTTAAACTTCTAATCGATGGGTTCTTCCAACATTCTCTGTCTTTCTCTCCGTTTCTCTCTCTTTCACAAATACACACACACACACACACACAGTCCTACACATCCCTACACACCTCTAGCCACCAATTCCTTCCCCTCATCCATGAGTTCCTGCGTCATGTCGTCGTCCCCGATGAACTGCTGGAACCCGAGGGCGCTGAGCACGCGGCTGCCCAGACTGAAGTAGGTGAAGATACATAGCAGGACGATCAGGATGGGGAAGTAGATGTTGAAACCGTTGGCGATGATGGAGATGACGTCCATGTGGCCCATAATCTGACGACGGATGGATAAGGGTGGGGTGAGGAGGGGAGGAGGGGGGAGGGGGAACACTTTTAAATTATGCTGATATCAGGGGAAAAAACAACAGTTAGTGATGATAAGAGTTCATATTTGTGAGGACCCACTCTCTAAAACCAAAAGTAAAAGTAATTGTAGATGTTTTATGTCCCCAGCTGGCACCAGGCTGAGAGAGATACAACATCCCAGCAGAACAATAGAGATACGAGATATTTGACGAAAATTGTCCTCACTTGGGAATCAAAATCAAACTCATGTCTTCTGTGTACGACTGCGAAGTCCCGAACCGCTACATCACAGACACAGGATGTACTCTTTAAGAATGGAAGAAAAATAACTTATCTTTGAAACTTAAGTTTGTTTGTCATCGAAGGATAAATACGGTAGGTCAGAAAGTCTAATGCAACAACCGTGGTAGAAAAATATTTTTACAAATAGCATGAGGAACAGCGTTACTATGAAGTAAATTTCTTCAAAATATACATAGTTACAATGAAACAAGTTTATTGACTGCTTCGGGTAAAACACTGCTATATGCCATTATGAAAAGTGGCACATGAAAGATCTACAATGAGCAGTCATTAGGCATTGACATCCCTTCTGAGAGAGGAAAAGCGTGCATGTGCATATGTGTGTGTGTGTGTATATTTGTGTGTGTGTGTGTGTGCGTGTGTGTGTGTGTGCATAAGTGTCATCAACTGACCTGAGTGTGCAAGGTTTCCTCAATGTGCTTATCCTGACTGATGTGGCTGCGTGTGTGTGTGTGTGTGTGTGTGTGTGTGTGTGTGTGTGTGTGTGTGTGCGTGCGTGCGTGTGTGTGTGTGCGTGCGTGTGTGTGTGTGTGTGTATCTGCGTGCAAGCGTGTATGTGAGAATGTGTGCACGTGCATATGTGAGTGTGTGTGTACATGTCAACCACTGACCTGGGTGTAGGAGGTCTCCTCAATGTGCTCATCCTGAGTGATGTGACTGTCCAGATGAATGAGGCCCAGGAAGTTCAGACACATCGGAGGGGTCAGTCGGCACAACATCCTGACAGAGTGAGAGAGTGAGAGTGAGGTAATGAGGGACGGAGGGAGAAAGAAAGAGAGAGAGAGTGCAAGGGAGAGACAAAGAGAGAAGGAGAGAGAGGGATTGAAAGAAAGAGAGAGAGAGGAGGCAGGGAGGGAAGGGGGGGGGGGGTGGAGAGAGAGAGAGAGCAAAAGGGAGAGGGAGAGGGAGAGAGAGAAAGTGAAAGGGAGAGTGAAAGAGAAAATTGAGAGAGAGAGAGAGAGAGAGAGAGAGAGAGAGAGAGAGAGAGAGAGAGAGAGAGAGAGAGAGAGAGAGAGAGAGAGAGAGAGAGAGAGAGAGAGAGAAAGGGAGAGCTGGATAGAGAGGGAGAGACAGAGTGCAATATACACTCAAGTCACAATATTCTAACCAGAACATCACTAATATCTTCTTTTCACAAAAATATACTCCAATTCTGAACGTGACTTAACTTGCTTTAATCAAGTCTTTTCCGGCCTCTGACCACATCACCATAGTATCTCTATAAAGAGCTAGCTTTGAATGTATTATACCAACCGAACACCCTCAGATCACACCACATTATTCTCTTTATGATTAGTAGATTCTGAACATACAAACATCCTAATCACCACTTTCTAATCTACACTAGAGAAACAAATTAATATTACCAGCATCCTTCTTCAATGTTTAACCCCAGCTTTTAGTCAGGGGTCACCAAAAAAAAGAGAGAGAGAGAAGGAAAAGAAGGAAAGTTCGTATGTGGAGCCAACAGTACGCGTTTCGTTATCTGACCTTTAGTTATTCACATGAGTTCAGTAACATTGAATGCCTGAGAAATTTAACCACGACATTAGGATGACTGCAATAGCAGAAAAAGTCTACAGGAGTTTCCCGGTCTTAATAATAAGAGACAACATTTGTACAGCATTCTCAACAGCAAGACCTAAGCACTTAAACAATCTATATTATCACCCCAGCAAACCTGATAGCATGCTGAAACAATCGCAACTTCCTGGGAAGCACACAGTGCAAAAAATTCTTAAAACAAACCAAATGAAAAGCTTCTTTCACAAATGCTGTTGTGGCCTCCTTATGTTGCCCCAACAGAGAATGGAGACTCCGGATATGTATAGTAGCCCGAGTACGCTCTGACAGAAGGGCTCAAGTAGTCCTTTACCTATGAGATCCCTTCACATAATAGCTAACATCAGTCTTGGCCCTTGCCCACAAATCATGGAATAAACAAATGCATCAATTTAAGGGTTTTATGACCAAATCTTGAAAGCTACTTTCACGCAGTTTTCTGATGTGTATTCTCCCTTACATGCCGATGAAGATGAGACTGTGCTCGTTGGTCTGGTGGTGTGGGGCAATGTAGTACAGGTTGAGGATTCGGATCTTGAACACGCTGAAGTAAGCGCAGAAACACAGGTAGGCAATGGTCAGTACCGACGCCAACTGTGGACAGAGATGTGTTGGAGAAATGTGATATTTGTCGAAGCACACGGCTTGTAAGTATTTGACAACTATCCATGATCTCATTTACAAGCACAAAAAAAAAGTATAAATTATTTCTCAGAAACATGCAGAAATATTTTGAATTAAAAACTTAAAAAATAACACGAGTAAAGATTTTGATGTATATGTATTGTTTTTAAACTGTTATGACTTTGTTCTTCCCTCTCGAAAAAAAAACCCTCAGAAAAACCCTGAAATACTGATGGGAACAAAATCATTCATTGAGAATGAATCCTTGGAGCACAATGATTGAAGTAGTGCGGTCTGACTAAGATTCCACGGATCATGAGCTTCAAACATGGGTTAAGACATAATTGCACTACGTTTTTTCCCCCACTCACGGGCGTTCAATCAAAGAGGATCACGTTCATCCTGCCTTATTCCACCATACAACAAGATCAACACCTCAGTAGGCATAATAAGCCTAACTCGCTATATGTGAAATTCGTTTCTTAAGAAAAAAAAAGTCTCAATTCAGTATATACAGAATTCTCTTGACTCACAACAATATACGCATAACAGTCTATATCATAAACAAATGAAATTACAGACAAACCTGCCCTGACGGCCACCTCTATAAGACGGCCACCTGTACAAATGGCCACTTTCCATTTCCCCCTTGCGTTTTTTCTCTATAATTTATCTGTGTAAAACAGGCACCTGTCCAATGCAGCTGCGGCCACCATAATTTAACACACAACCCCTATCACACTAAGCAATAACACCTGTCTTAGACCGCCACCTTAGTGAGTCCATTACGTTTTGTCATAAATTGTGCATTGGCCCCTGGCGTTGAGGGCGAGCCGTCATAATTCAATCACCTGTCGTTGTTGTTAGGTAGTCCCTCCAACCGATCATGTTGCATAGGCCCCTCCCACTGTTGACCAATAGCTACCAATTTTCAGCTGCTGGTCAGGTAAGCGTGTGATCCCTCATAACCCATAAGCCCCGCCCAGAACTCATAACAAATCGTAAGTCAAATGAGTGGTCACTGTTTACCCAGTCTGTAACAAAGTAACAAAGAACGTCTACATGAACTTGTGACAGAAGTGTTGCTCGTTCTCCGAGTGGTGGCGACCCATGTGTTTGTTTTAACAAGGCACTCAGTCTTCCTTGTCAAATACATTTAGTTTTATTGTCACCCTTGTGCAAAATCAGCAACAAAATCAAAATTACAAACAAAATACAAACCAACAATAACAACAACAAAAATAACAACAATGCATCTACTTTCAATTGGGACCTCAGATGGGAATGGTTTGTTTTCTTCATCTTGATCAGTCCTGCCTAAGACAGCCACCTGTGTTATACGGCCAATTTTCTCCTCGACAATGGGTGGCCGTCTTACACAGGTTTGACTGTAGTCTGTTGTCTCACTTTGCTTTCTCTCATTAAAAAAGTCTCACCTCAATGTAGGCATAGTCATAGTTCTCCCTTGCCAAGTTAATGAAGACGGCAAACAGCGAGAGGACGGGCTCCTTGATGAAGAACAGACACTCGGACCACACCACCATAAAGGACATGATGGTGAGTACAGCAGCACCGATCATGTAGACATACGGCCTCACCGAGCACTTCCAGTACCATTCTGTTGAGGAAGTAACAAAGAAATTTTAGTAGTGCCAGCAACAAGTACTATTTGTATGAAAATTACTACACTCTTTGCTATTTTTAAAAGGCAATATAAATATGACATCTGAAGTCAATTTAACCCCTCGACCACACTGTAAATGTATCTCATACGTCTCAATGATCCGACGTCAAAAGCTACGAAAACGTATCTTGTGTTTTATGGCTTGTTCTACGCAGCTCTTGTCAACGGATGAATAGTGAGGCATCATGGTGAAATCAGGTGCTCGTCAAAAAAACAAAATTGGAGAAACAGGCATTTTCCCACCAGTCTGGCAATTTTTATCAACTTTTTGTTTTTATGTTCAACCCTTTTATGTCCAAATAAAAACACAATTCCGGGTGAAGTTCAATGAAAAATGTTGTTTAAAAGTAATAAAAAGTATTTTTTTCGTTTTAAGGACTCTTTAGCTATTGGAGGTACCAAACTTTGGCGGCCATTTTCTCGCTAGTTTTACCGCTGAAACCAAGCGACCTTATCTCTTTCAATAGCAAATATCTTCACTTTTGCTCAAGATAAATGGGTATTTCTTTCATTGAAAGCAAGATAAATGAACAAGCATTAAGATGATACCAATAACTCTACGTGCCCAAAAATTGGTGAGCACCTGATTCCACCACGTCGCGACACAATTTATCTCTTTATTTGTCTTTCTATAGGAATAACTTTCACCGACCCGTCTCTTAGAATAATTAAACAAATTATGTCAATTGAACATTGTGACCAATGATGTCTTGTGTACAATGGAATCTTCCTTAGCATGTGAGGTGCATATACAGTTAGCAGTCGAGGGTTAATGATTCAACAACATCCCCTAGCCCCCCCCCCCCCACCCCCCCCCCCCCCCAAATCCCAACAACGATAGCAAATTTTAAAAAATTAGTACAAATCTGGACCTATGGACCTTTACACTGCATGGATCAAATATTAATCAAGGGGCACAAGAGGGGTGAGTAGAAAGTCCATTCCTGAGGCAGGCTGCTTCAACCTTACCTGCCTGCCTCCAGGCCAATTCAAGCTGAGTGGGAAAAAAATGTAACACATGCAATGGAGTCTCCCCTGCTGGTGGGGGGCCCCGTAGTTTTACTATGGGGGAGCAAAGAATACACCTGCCGTGATACTGTGTGTGGTAAGAGGCGACTAAAAGTGCATAGGTCTGGTCGTCCGAAAAGTGCCAGTTTGCGGAGGGCCAACTACCCAACCCAGTAAAAAACAGTAAGTTACAGAAACACGGACAAACACAGCTTTATACTTTTCGATCTTGGGAGACGGAGGAGCTTCTGCATCAGCAGAAACGATGAAGGACAGCGGACAATCACATAAATCGATGTACAGAAAAGTGGGAAGACATGGAATAACATCAAGAGGCTAGCCCAGGATAGAGAAAAGTGGAGGGTGTTTGTCCGTGGCCTATACCCTGGTGCAGGGTGAGAAAGGCAACGATGATGATGATGCAATGGAGTGGGAAAAATGGAATATATGCAGTGAACATTTGACCCACCAACAGCAGGCGTATACACGCTCCTCATCCACGCGAAGTAGAGGCTGGACTTCTCCGGGTCCGAGTGGCGAAAGTGGCGGTCCAGGCTGTGCATGTTGGTCTCCAGGTCCTCCCACTCCAGGGCCGCGCCCATCAGGTTGTTCCACTGTATGCTGGTGCGCTGGCTGATCTGACTGCGCCTGGAAGGTACACGCAAACACATACGTGAGGCAGCGTGGTGGGATCAGGCTCCCGTCAATTTTTGGGCATATTGAGTTATTGGTATCATCCTAAAGCTTGTTTATTTGTCTTGCTTTCAATGAAAAAATTATCCATCCATCTTTAATAGGAATGGAGATATTTTGGATTGAAGGAGTTGGGGGGTCACCTGGTTTAAGGGGTAAAATTAGCGAGAAAATGGCCGCGAAAAGCTTGGTAAATTCCAAAGCTGGAGAGTCCATGGAAACTGTAAATTTATATTTTTGTGCCTTTAATCAATGTTTTTCGGTGAAATCCTCAAAGGAATGTGTTTGTAAACAGACATAAAAGGTGTTGAGCCAAAAAAACAAAAATTTGATCAAAATTGCCAAGCGGGGAGAAAACTGTTGTTTTCTTCGATTTCATTATTTTGACGAGAGCCTGATTCCACCACGCTGTCTCACATAGTGTCATTCACACGCACACAATCAGTCTCACACATACACAGACACAATTATAGCATACAGGTCAAGATGGAGGGCACTGGCCAAGAAACCCCCCCTCCAACGCCTTCACACACACACTTCTCTGCATTTGATAAATGCGAGCTATTCGAAGTATACTTGCAGCAAAACATCTCTCCAATTCCCTTATGGGCTTTGTTCACATCATTATTTGCAAAACTAATCTCAAAAAGTTCATATTTCTTCAGCATCAGCAAGTGGGTGGGGAACAGTACTTGAAAACAGAGAATATATATTTTCCTATACGGAAACGGATTTTCGTACAACAGAATTTCATACTCAGACCTTTAAAAGCATATTACATGTGTTTATTTACATATTTGTTGGCAGCTAAGGATTTAATTTCCATCTCCAATAGGTCCAAGGAAAATCGACGAAAAGCCATGAAAACACCCCTAAAAGCATAAACGTGACACCCTGCCAACACACATAAACCACATTCACACGACACTGGAGTGACTCCAGCAAAAACCCCACTCAAATCACACAAAAAAATATAACACACAAACATCTGATACTCCAATAACAAACCCATACAATGCACACAAAAAACCCCCCACATATTGATACATGTTACACTACAGAAACAACACACCCACCTGATTACTTTCTTGTGTAGTTTGACCAAGTTGCTCTCAGACAACGAGTCCACCGTCTGGTTGTAATCCTCAAAGTCGTCCATCTTGCCCCTCACAGACTGGCGGGTGCTCTCCGGACACTGAAATTGTCGCAACAAATACAGCTCAATTCTCTAGTCTTGTTTCAGAAAAGAGAAGCACTTGCAGAAAATAATGGTCATTTAGTACACGAAAAAGCAAGACAGAAACAATGGAGGGAAAAGAAAAGAAATAAGACTTCCAGTCGTGCTATCAAACCCCCTGAGAACTGTCTGAGCATTACTCCCCAGAAAACAACAAAACATTAGCTTTACACTACCTGCTGCAAGTACAAGGTAAGACCTAATCTCTGTTTCTTGTTAAAACAGCTGAAATCAACCATTCGCATGCTGTGAAATAGGAACGAAAATGACCATGCTGACTCTCATATCTCTCAAAAAAACCTGCCCCTATTCAAACACTTTTCTAATGCCTGAATATTTCCCAAATTTTTTTAAATCATGTGACATAACTTTTATTGACTCCTAATAAAACCCTTAAAATCATAACAGATGTTTGACTCCCCATATTGATAGAATTTAGATAATTTAGAAGGCAGGTTGCTTCAACCATAAATGTAAGGGTCAATTCAGGCTCAGAGGGATCCAACTCCCCGGTAGACAGAAGGAGATATTTGATATAAAGACATCCCTGTTCGGAAATAGAACCCATGATGAATCAACTGACTGCTACGTCATGTACAGTTATATTAAAACTGTAGAGCTTGCACTGAAAACTAAAGGTCAAAATTTTATATCTTCAATATCTGCTTTGTAATGAAACCATATTTAAAATTCTGATCTCCAATTTTAATACATACAAAGAACTTTGTTTAAGCTAAATAAACACCCTCCACCCCACAAAGTACAAACTACAGAAACATCTTCCCATCATCTACAGCAACAAGGAAGTGATAAACCTGACAACAATTCAGTCTAACCTTTGTGAGAATGGTGTCCATGTGTTTTCTCAGTGGGTGGTTGTAGCGGATCTTCTCAGCGGCTCTACGAGTCTCCTGAGGATTTCCCAAACAAAAAAATCAGACAAAAGGACAACGAAAATTTTATTGAGAACTTCAACTACTTTGTAGCTGTAAAAAAATCAGCGATGCAACTGAGCAAGTTCAAAAGAATTTTTAGACATAGGAGAACAACCCTATAAACAGACACTTAATGAAAAAGATGGAAGGTGGAATTTAAGATACCTTCTCATTATTGTGCCATTCAAGATATGTTTTAACAAGAAGATCAACTCTTTGTTCATTGTAGGACAACACATCTGCTTTGTCCTCACTCAAAAAGCGATGTTTCACTGTACTAGGAGAGTGTTGATACCAACAGAAAATGAAAGAAATTAAAACTGCAGTACACATAAACCTCACCTTTGTTATCAGATCAGAGAAACACTCAAACTTGACATCACACTTTTCCATCCTCTAATCATCTCTCCTAAACACATCCTCCACATCAGAGAAATATGTATGCCTCACATTCTATTACCTCCCACAAACCTTCCTCATCACACCTCACACTCTTTATGCCTCCCATACATTCTCTCCGTCAGACTCATCGCTCCCTCTTACCTCCAACACATCCTCCAGTGCTTCTTCTGCCTCCGTTTTCTCAGTGCTTAGTTTGGCAATCTTGAAGTATGTGCTGTTCAGCATATACCTGGCAACAGACATACACACAGATACGCATTAAATAATAATAATAATAATAATAAATAGCATTTGTATAGCGCATATCCCCACTCAACAGCAGGCTCTATGCGCTTTACGCTTTACACTATATTATTACCCCAGCAGACCATAGAACACTCCGAAACATTCTCAGCTTCCCTGGAAGCATACAGTGCGAGCAGCTGATTAAGCGCTCAAACACTAACAAACTGACAAGATCTTTCGCTGTCAAAAGCCGGGTACCCATTCCCACCTGGGTTAAGTGAGGAAAATTCGTGTAAAGTGCCTTTCCCAAGGACACAACGTCGGGCACCTGATGGGATTCGAACCCACAACCTTACGGTTGCGAGTCCGAGAGCCTAACCACTAGGCCACTGACGCCACGCATAAACACAAACATTGGCAGCAATAAACATACACACAGATATACCCTGGCTACAACACACACACGCACGCATGCACACACATAAACACACACACACACATATTCATTAACCGCCTCCCAGTTCAGGACTAGAGACAAAAGCTTCACTGCCAATAAATGAGGGGACAGTTTATACATTACTTCTGCCATTAGGTCTTGTATATTGGGAATACAAGAGACTATCACCCAAACAGATATAGAAAAAGCAAATTTAAGCTAAAAAAACCCCCACCAAACCTGTCAATAAAATAGAATTAAACCTATAAGAAGCCCAGGTCATCTGTTCCAACTTAATCTGGGACACTTGAATAAACAAAAATGCCTTGACCATCTTGTGCTCATAGGAAAAATATACGGCAAATGAGGCAGGGTAGACGAAGAGTAACATACTTAGAGAACCTAAACAGATGGATAATGGGGAAAGACTGGCAAGGGATAACATAGGTTTTTTTTAAAGCACATCTGAGCAAAGAAATGAATGGTGAACCATGATTGCCGATGTCTGCTTCAGATCTTACACTTCAAGAAGATGATATTTCCCACACTAAAAGTCAAACTCTTACTGATGCCAAAACACCCCTTCACATCTTGGACACCCGAGAGTTAGCAACTATAAAGAGTACTTATGTGTATGTACATGTGTGCATGTCAATATAGCTCCTGGAGCCCCAATATACTAAACAAATGTTATCTATTATTATTATTATTATCATGATTATGATTCATGAGGGTGCGTGTATGCACATGACTCTCACCCCTTCTTCGACTTGTTCCACAGAGTCCGCGGCACATCCACAAGCCCATACCCCAGCATGAGAACCAGCACAAACAGACCCCAGGTGTTGCTGGCAGTCACCCCGATGATCTTCAGCTTCTCTCTGCAACAACAAAGAGTGTTCTGTTAATTTTTGCATCCAAATCATCAACAACATTGTCATCAGAACATTCGGAAGCAAATCACTTTTAAAAATGTGATTCGTGGGAAAAATAGAATAAGATGTGAAGCATCTCACAACACATATCTACTGCTCATTTATGAGAAGACAAGAATTCACTTCCACTGCAAACAGATCACTACCGTTTTCTTATCATCAAGCACTTTTCTAAATTTGCTTTCAAGTTTACTGTCAGCTCTGTTTCTGCTCAAGTAAACAAAAGCACATTGACATGATAATGGTCATTTAGTGCCAGGAAAGAGCAGTACCAATAGAAATGACAGCTTGAGAGAAAAGAGGACCTACAAGTGGAACTTCCAAACACCCATATATAGAACTGCATACTTCAGATTAATGAAAGACCTATAAAGGATCTAATTGAACAAAATTTAAACCCTAACCTAACAATTTAAAAAATCAGTACTTCATCTTAAAATAATTTTGACTAACACTGCTATAGCTGTATAAGCAGAAAAAATATTAAGATTGAATTTAAAGAAAAAAGACTATATGGTACATGCAGGGTTCATACTGAGCAGATTTTTTCCCCCAAGACTTTTCAAAGAGTTTTCAAGACCCGATTTCTTTTTTCCAAGACAAATAGCCTGTCATTTAGGAAAAAGATTTTTTGTTCAGCATGCAAGAACACATTATGGTACACTTCAGAACTTCTAGGAAATATTTTTACAATTATGATCTCCCTAAAAATTTCGTTTATCAAGACTTTCCAAGAATTTTGCCAATTTCCCAAATTTCCAAGAGTTTTTCATGTCTTGGGAAAAAAAAAAAAATTCCAAGAGTTTTCCAGTTTTCTAAGACCCGTACGAACTCTGTACAAGAACTATCAAATCCATTACTGATACTAGATCCTAAGTGTACGTCACAATCAAGCAGGTTAAAAAGGGTGATATATTATCAAAGCGTAGACCACGTGAATCCTGATAATAATTATCACAAACTCTTACCCATCAATGTCTAAATCTGGCCGGGCTGCCACATAAATGAGGCAAATGCCAAAAATAAGGAGGTAGGTGCCATAGAATATGGCGTTTTCGATGAGAGCCGACTTGATTTTTCCCACAGCCGTGAAGTCTCCAGCCTTAGAATATGACTGCATCATGGGCATGATCAACCTGGGGACATAATATAGGGATAGAAGAGATGTGGGGAGGTGGGAGGGTGGAATGGGAGACTAGCCACAAACAATATTTGACATTAATATTTAACACCTAAAATGTAATGGTTAGTCTTGTAATAGACATGACATGAGTCCAATTTCAGCAGCTGCTTCCTGACCAGATGTGTGTTTATAAGGTGTAATTCCTTTATAATCATTTGGCAATACCAGACATACCTTGGAATTTCAAGACAGAGTAACAATTGAAAATTTTTATTTTCTTTAATGTATACAGTCGAAACTGTCATGACGGTCACCTGTATAATACAGCAACATGTACAAACGGCCACTGTCCATTTCCCCCCCCCCATGTGTTTTTTTCTATATATTATTTAACTGTATAAAACGGTCACCAGTCCAACGCGGCGCCACCACCTTATTTTACCAACCCAGAGCCAAATGTACCTGCATGAGGTGGCGAAGCATGGTCTCAAATCGCCCAATGCTATATCATAAATTCTAAATCGGCCCCTGATGCTGTGGACGGGCCGTCATAATCCATAAGTTGACAAATGAGTAACATAAAGTTTTCAACTGCTGGTGAGGGAAGCCCATGATCAGTCATAACCTTTAAGCTCCACCCACAACTCATACACAAATCATGTGTGAGGTGACTGGTCACTTGTTTGTTTACCTAATCTGTAACAAAGTAACAACGGACGTTGAAGTGAACTTGCGACTGGAGCATCACTCGTTCTCCAAGTGGTGGCGACCCAGTGTTTGTTTTACCATGGCACTTGGTCTTCATCGTCTTACATTCTTTATTTTATCCTTGAACAAAATCAGCAACAAAAAAGGTAACTAAAAAAACGAAGCAACAACAGTAACAGAAAAATCCCTTCTTGGACACCCCTCCCCCCTTCTTTTTTTCAAAAGAAACTTAATTTTTTTTTTAAAAAACTTTTTGAATCTGCCCTACGGCAGTCCTAGGCCTGAAATCAGCCCCGGTTTAGACCTTATAAGGGAATGGTTTGCTTTCTTCATTTTGATCAGTCCTGCCTAAGACGGCCACCTGTGTTATACAGCCATTTTTCTCCTTGACAATGGGTGGCCGTTTTACACAGGTTCGACTGTATAAGGAAAAACAGTTTGAATCTTTTGAGAATTTTTATAAATAAACAGCAGTCTCAATAAATGGAGGATTATAATAAGGATAGAGGAGGCTGCACCAATTTATCCATTTTCATAAATCTCTTCCTAACAACACGGCTCAGAAGACATTCTACCCGCAGTAATAACATATATATATGTCCACACCCACACCACGTCATTGCAGAGTTATATAGGCTACCAAGTGACAGTCTGCTGATGACACTTACATTGGTACGAGCAGCACCTCATCCCTTACTCACACACACATACAAATTAACACACACACAGTCATGCACTTACACACAGAAACACTGGGACTGTAAAAGCCATGTGATGACTTGTGATTTCAGGAAGATAATTCCTTACAGAAACAAAACCTGGTTAGCAGATATCCCCACCCATACTTACACTTAAGAAGACACTCATAAACACATACTCCTCGAACACACACACCATTCTCAAACAAATACACACAAATAACCTCAAAGACACATTTACAAACATTGGCCCGTTCCGTACCAAGTGAGGACCTGCGAGGTCCAGTAGATAATCCTCCACAGTATCGGCAGTACCAGGTCAGGCACAAAGCTCATAGGTCGCCCACAATCAAGTCCAGCATCCCCGGACTGACCCTGAGGCTGACCACCAGCCAATGACACAGACGAGCTGGATGCAAGGGATGACACTGACGAGGGCGTGGACCCGTTGGTGATCTGTGACCCATTGACCGTAGTGGAGGACACTGTAGTGGTCGTGGTGGTTGTAGTCCGGGGACTTCGGTCGTACACGCATTGGCGGTAAAATGTCTGCAAGAAAGCAAGAAAGGGGTTACAAGAATCCCTGGAAATTCCACAAAGGAACATCTAAAATAGACCACTGCATTATCAAACAAGTGAATGTCTTCCCCAGCCTATATCATTTTGTTGCTGTTGTTATTGATCCAGCAACATCAAGGAATGGACAGGCCTCTTTTTAGGCATCTAAAAATCAACATATGCCCAATTAAAAATGCCTCACAAACCAGGGAAAAGTCATCAGTCATGGTCAGTGTTATTAGGCCAAGAACCTAACCAGGATGTTCACTAAAAATAAAGAGTAGCAAATACCCTACAAAGACGAGAGTTTGGTCATTTGGGGGGG